TCTTACGTGCAAATCGCTTGTTGAGGAGGACCAGTACCTTGGTCACGTTGAACTGGACATATTCGAGGTCCAGATCTTCTTGGTTGTCCTTTTGCATCTCCAGCAGATCGTCGAGCTTGAGGTCGAGCTCGAGAAGACCGCGATTCCGCCCTTTGTAGTGGAGGGAGATGACAAAGGTGCCGGGGAGCGGGCTTGTGAAGTTGAAGTAAATGTTGGCTCTCCTATTCTCCGGGACATTGCTCTTCTGGATCACGCCTTCTCGCTCGAGCTGCTGGTGGGTGAATTTGTAGGGTCCGAGGACTTGGTGTTTTTGCTGTTTCCTTGTCTTGCCTTCAGATTGACTTCGGACGTTGTGGAGGTACGACTTGTACGTGTCAAGCTGGCTGACCAGGAAGCCATTGTGATCGCGGATGGTGCGGAACACTTCCTCGAGCTTCCGTGTCTCTTCGATGACCTTTTCCTTCATGGAGCCCAAGTGCACCAGCTCTTGTTCGACTTCGTCGCGGAGTAACGAGAAGCCGTCTTCCTTGTCAATCACGCCAAGATCCTGCAGTTGGCTGAGCAGCTCCATGCTACGGATACCCTTCTTGACCATGACAGAGTCGTTCTTGGTCGTGGCAGCTGCTTCCGCAATCCTGTCGAGGCGCAATGGCCGTCGCGTGATGGAAGTGTTGGAAGGAAGCGAACGAAGGATCATGACGAATGTCGACTTGGCTTCCATGAAGAAGATCTCTTCCTGCGTAATGTCGAGCGCTGCGGTCAGATCGTCAAGCGGCGTTTCCCATTTGCTGAATAGCGGGAGATTGATGGCTCTGTTCTCTTTTCGGGGAAGCTGTGCTGGAGCGGAGCCGAGCTCGTTGAGAATGACGCCTAGATGCGAACTGTCTTCTTTGGCCTGGTTTTGTTAGTACGGCAACGCGCATGGATGTGTGATTGCTTACCAGTTCAGCTGCATGTCGCTCCAAGAGCGAGTGCGTCGCATACACTTCGTTCAACGTGATGGACAGCTCTAGATCCTTCTTGGACAAAGCAACGTAGTTGTCCATCTCGAGAGTATCGTAAAAGTCCTGTACCTCGCACAGGTCCAACAGAAACTTGTTGATTCGCTCCTTGTTCTGGTGGATGAACGGCTGCAGCTTAACCATGTATGGCTCCTTGGCATACGATGGCTTGTTTGCGAGATTCTGCAGCATCTTGGCGATATACGTTAGTGTCCGCTTGGGGTTCTCTGCTGGCAGCACATCGATGAGCATGTACGATCTTGGGGTGACGATGGCGGGGTTGATAAAGCGCAGGAAGAAGAAGCCTCCGATAAGAGTGCAAATGGTCTGGTCCTGGGCATCAGGGTACTTTCGTCTCGACAGACTTCGAATCTGCTTGCATATCCATCGGATGCCGTATGGCGTCTCCTCGAGGCCTTTGATGATGGTTGTGAGGAAGTTGTTGGCAATCTCCATGAGCATGTTGACTCGCGGTGTGATGATGTTCTGTACCGTCTCGTTCTCGGCCGCCTGCTCTGCGGTAACGCCCTTGGGCAGGTTTGCGGGAAGGGTTCCCTGGATCTCGAGCTCAGTGACCATCTTCTCGTATACCTTGAGCGGGTTAATCTCAAGATCGAGGTCCTTCAGCTCGATGAGCGAGTTGATGCTGTCCTGCAAGACGACCTTGAGGTAGCTCTGACCGGGTCCTCGGCGGGTGTATGTGGTCATCATGCGCGAGACGGGTGTGTTGGCACGTAGGAGCGAGCTGTAGTCTGGGGTGTTGTCGAATTGATAGGTGAGTACAGACTGAGCGAGGTTAGTTGTGATGCGCAAAGCTGGAGGCGTAACCTACCTGGAACATGGTCAAGAGCAAGTGCTCTTCGCGGCTCTCGTACTGGTTTCCGTAGATTGTGAACATGACAGTCTGCAGTAGGGCATCAATCTCGGCCATGGAGACGAGTCGACACAGATGGGCAATATGGCGTGGCTCAGATTGGAGGAGGAAGAGCAGGTTGCCGTACTTCTGCGTCTTCTCGTCGTTGGGAAAGAAACCTTCCTGGAGTTCGAGGCCGTCTCCCAGGTGGTCGGCGACTTCATTCTGCTGCAGGATAGTCAGTACAAGCGCGGGGTGTGTGCAGCGTTGGGCGCACCTCTTCCAATGCCATGCGGTTCTGGATCAGCAGGGCTATTCGCGAGTCGAGATAGCGCACATCCTTTTCCAGGACGAAGTTCTTCTTGGACTGCGACGAGATCTTGGCCTTGAGTTCGCGGAGTATCTTCTGGGCTGTGAGGGTTAGTTTATTGTAGTATATTGCGAATGAATGGCGGCGTACCTCGGGCCAGGTCATCTTCAATCTCGAGCTCCTTGTCTTTGGCGGACATGGACAGGTACAGGGCTGTGACGGAGTAGCGCTTCGACTGGCGCACCGAGCGCGAGCCATCGTGCGACGACATTGTGTTCTGGCGCGAGACGGGGACAAACGACGACGAGGACGACGTCGAGGCGCGCGAGGGGGCATGCAGCATAGAGACGGCCATGGCTGGTCGGGGGTGTCGCGGCGAGAGCGACGGGCAGGGCGGAGACGGAGACTTTGTTTCTTTGTGTGCGCGGTCGCGGTCGGGCGGGTTGGGTCAATCAGCGACGGCGACGGGGATTGCAGCGATTACGACGGGGGAATTGCAGCGGGAGGGCCCGTCCAGCGAGAGGTCGCGAGAGGTCGACGGGCGGTGCAGAGTGCAGCGCAGGGCCGTGGTGTGCAGGCAGCGTGGGTGTTGGTTGGATTAATTTAGGGGGTGCCTCAGTCACCGGGAGTCGCGACGAGGGCGAGGGGTAGCTCAGACGGTGAGTGGTGGGAGACAATGGGCAGGCTGCGACATTCCAGATGGCGCGACTTCCGCTTCAGATGCAGATGGCAGGAGCGACAGCGACAGTGACAGCAACGGCGGGGTGGGGATACTTGGTGCAGGCGGGAGGTGAGAGTGTGAGTACTCCTAGAGGGGAGAGTGAAAGTGTCTACCTGGGAGTAGTATGGAGTGGTCTGAATGGGTGTTTCAGTGTCTTGCAGAGTGGAGAGGGCCAAGCATGTGGAGGCCGCAGGTGGGACGTCAAACGAGGCAGGGGCAAACGGCCACCCACCAGGCTGCGCGCCAGATAGCAAGGCGATGGAGTCGGCATGGGTGCGAAACCGTCGTCAGCTGCTCGCCTGCCCCTGAACGTCCACCTCGACGTGCCTGAAGCAGCAACGTGGTCCGCGCCCAACCGACGCCGCTGGTTCCTGGCTAAGCCCGACTAGCACACGTCAAGCCTGACGCTCTCTACATTGACTTGTAGCCTGCATCTCCATCACATGGCCAATCTGCCGACGTTTAGTCCAACGTGGATAACTTGTGCAGCTACCTAGATACCGGAGGCCTTCGCTGCCGACAGCTTAACACCTTAGCAACGCCTGTGGCGGCGGGCTGCACGAGATGTGGAGGTGGCCAGAGCGCCGTCTTGACGCTTGTTGCTTGCCTGCCTTACTGCCCGCACAAGTGTACTAGGAAAATTGCCCAGCCCAGCATGCAGTCCGCCCGTCGTCGATGGACAAGGGCATGCCATCGCAAAGTCCGACCCGCCGCCATCGACTCCTACAATCCTACCAGACATGATTACTCTGCATAGATACCGTACATGCAGCATTGCAATCCGTCGTCGATCAACCCATCACCATCTCATCTCGGTCCGATGATCTATGCCATTTGTCCGCCCGCTGGCAAAAAAGTTTCGAAACATACGTGGCGCACATTCGCTGCACAACGACGACTATCGCAATGTAATGCTCCAACATCGCTGATAGCCATGTCGTCCTAGCGCCGACGTGATGATCAAATACCGCCATACCAATACAATGCGCCACACGACTTTTGATCGCCGCGGAACAACTGCCCAAACCGTACTTGCACTTGCTTGCACAGTGGTCTATAAATGACTCCGTCACATTCCCGCCGCCTGTCCATCACCTGCAGCTTTTCATCACGCCATTGCCCCGCTCCGTGTTCGCTTCCTTCAGAACTGGAGATTGAACTGATCCTGCCAGTGCCTGGCGACTCATGTCACATGCTTTGGATAGAGTACTTTGGTAGCCGCTACTGGCTGGCGGGAGACAGCATATCCGGGCCTCGTTTACCGTTTACAGTTTACAGTTTACCATTAGATGACCACAAAGCAAAAAGACCCGAAGAAAATATTGGGGCCAAGGTGAGAGCGCCAATGGAGCCGAATCTCCAATATCTCTAGTGAGCTGCGCTGCAATGCACACTTCACACCCTCTTTCCCATGACTATGCGCCGCGCCGTGCCGGACAATAGAGTGAACGCCTGCGAACCATATAGTACAGCACTTTACACACATCCATCTCGTACAGTACGCGACGCCAGAAGAAGACCATGAAAAAAAACTTGCAAGTAACGAGAAAAAACGGGAAACCGAGAAACCGAAGACTCCACACTTTGCATGCCCATCTCCTCGGTCAGACTCGCTGTGCGGGAAGCATACGGTACCTGGACACCTTGACGCGCCTTGCGCAGCTGCTCCGCCTGCAAATAGGCCCGTGCGCTCGCGAAAACCATGGGCGATCATGGCGCCGTGGCCGCCAAACTCCTCCACCTCGCATGCACGCGCGCCTGCATGTGCCCTGCGAGTCAAGCGACCTTTCAGCCCGCGCCCGTCAGCGCACCACGGCTGCGAGGAGCACATTCACCCCGAAATAGCTGGCTTGCGTTAGCCCCGTCATCTCTCACCAACTGCAGGCAAACCCGCGCGCGCGCGCCTCAGGAACCGGCCAAGGCACCGGATAATGCGTGGGTAAAAAGACGTTTCTGACATGTTTCCGTCCGAAAGCATGTCCTGGAAATTTCCGAACGGGGTGAGAGTTTGTTCGCCCCACGCGCCCGTCTTGCCCGTTTGAGGATGTAGACGTCACGGTGCAGACGTTGCGATATTGCATTGCGGGCGAGAATTTGAGAAAAGAGAGAGATGACTTACACTGAAGCTGCCGCAGCCCACTCACGCGTAGACAGCATATTCCTGAGCTGAGGGGTCGACGTGACCATCTTTAGCTCCGCACCAACGATAAGCACGATAACGAGGAGCCGTCCGAGCAAGCTGGGGACTATCGCAAACGCCATGAGGGGTAGTACCAGGGTTAGTGGAAACCATATTGCTGACTGATCTTGGCCGGCAGTCGGAGCTGCCGTGCTGGGAGGAGCAGAAGAAGATGAGGAGGAAGAAGGAACTTTCCGCGGAAGAGTCACGAGGTCGGCGTCTTCCTCGAGAAATTGGGATTCCTCTTCATTAATCGGGTCATGCTCATCCATCCACTCGCGATAGGCTGTGATATCTTCCGCAGACGCGGGATCGAGACTTTTGGAGAGCTTGCTAAACGAAGATAAAGCCTTGTCTGTACCGAGTCAGCGGAACACTCTTGATCGGTAGCAGCGACGATCCCCATGTTGACATGGCGCTCCGACTCGTTGCATCCGGCTTAGCCACAACTTACTGTATTGCTCTAGCTTCTGGTAAATGCGCCCCAGGAGTTCGGTCCTCTTGAAGTGCATTTCACTTCCGTAGCGTGCGTCACCCCGCCGCGACGCAGGGTACGCGTACCCTGACGCATCTCGAGGCGATATCTGGGCTATGCATTCGTCTAGGTGACGCAGCTCTTCTTCCAGTTCGCATGTTTCGTCTTGGAGGTGGAGCAAGACGCGGTGGTTTAGATGCTCAAACTTTCGGTACATGGGCACGAGATTCTTCCGGCCATGGGAGCTGGGCGGAGTCGATCCGCTAAGCTCGTTGGCGAGGAGTTCATATCCCACCACCGTTTGTCGGGTCTGGTTGGGCAGTGGCGCGTGCTGTTGATAGAGTGGCGGCTGCCCTGGATGTGGGGTGAAAGGTGGCGGCACGTGCTGGAGCTGGCCGTCAGGTGGCCGTATCGATAGTGGATGCGCATGCACTGCTTCCGGGGACTGATGAGGCGCATATCCTATGGCTAGCGGAGCTGGGAATGAAGGCATCGGCGCCCATGCTGGTGGGGAATTGATTGCCGCAGGCACTGGAGCCGGAGATGCACCAGAATAGCCTTGCTGGTTGTACATCGGCATCGGTGGATAACCGTAGGGGTGCTGTTCTGCCCCATATTGGTAGTCTCCGTACGGCTGTGGCCTCTGGAAGATGTGGCTAGCAAGTTCGCGTTCCTGCTGCTTGAGACGTCTGGCGTGCGGATCACTCTGATGAGACGTCGTCGACGGAGCTCGAGGAGGGGTCGTTACTGCCGGCTGTTTGTTGGGCATCTGGTTTCCTTGATTGACTTCCTCATCGCTCTCTGACCCACTTTCACTCTCCTCTTCACTGCCCTCTTCTTGGTTGGCTTCGACGTCATCTCCAGGGCCATGCACAAAGCTACTGGCGTACAACGGCTTCTTGAATGAACGATACTCCTGGTTGGGAGGGTGGGATGCCGTCTGGAGGGACCGCCGCGTGGAGGCTGGTGAAGTCATGGCGGAGTCAGGATGCTGTGAGTCTGCTGCCACTGATGATCGGCCGTCGTCATGCTGAGTGTCACCTGACGAGGAAGACGATGACGAGGCAATAGTCGATGGAGGCATAGCCTGAAGGTCCGTAGGCGTAGGACTTCCAGGCGTGTCTTCAGATTGTAGAAACTGAAACACTCCTGCCTGAGCGGCATCCATGTTGTTGAATGTAATGCTTTGCATCGCCGTGGATGCGGGCGGACTCTGGCTTTCTTCAGACTCTTGGTACTCGGCGACTTGGCTATAACCGCCGTACGGTCTCTGCATCACTGTAGAGTTACTGCCACCCGACGCATCTGACTGTTGCGTCACACTCGAGACCAGGGAGGGATCTGACATGTTGGCCATGTTCCCAGCATGCCGTTGCAGAGAGCTATGTTTACCACGTGCGTGCGAGCGTTTCGCGGCGTCGTCCCCAGTATGCCGGCGGCGCAGAACCCTCGGATCGACCGGAGTACCAACGGCAGAGCTCCCTCGTCGTCTTGAGCGTGTGCTGACCTTGCTCTTGCTTTCTCTTATTTGACCGAGCCGGGGCATGTAGCCAACGTTACTGCCTTCTTCATCCAACTCTTCCTGTTTGGCCTGCGAACTCGATCCAGTAGTGTCGGTATGATGTGAGTCGCGTCTTAGAAGCTTCTTCAAAGTGTTGCGAGGCTGTTTAGATCTCTGCTCGCTCTCGTCATGGTCGTCGCTGCGTGGCGGTGAGGCCGAAGGTGGAGTACCCTTGGTGCCCGAGCTGGTGCGTGATGGACGACGTCTAGTGTGTGGTGCGCTAGTAGCTGAACTCGTGCCTATGTCATGGAGGCCGTCGTAGTGGTATTTCGGATTGCCTGTGGCAGGACTGCGCTGTCGAGGAGGTGAACCAGCGCCCTCAAAGGCTGCTGCTGCTGCTGTATGATCCGACTAAGTATCGGAAGTATCTACGTCAGTTTCCAAAAGCAATACGGTCGTTCAGGGCAGAGAGAGAGAGGCAAAGAGCGTGTTTATATTGTCTACCCACCATGCTACGTATTGTTTACAGGGTCCAGCTGTGTAAGCAGAGCGGAGGTGGCGCTTGCGTCAATAAGATCTGGTACTGGGGGTGCGATGGCGCGGTGCGGGGGAGTGTAGGTGATGGGGTGTGCGGGCAAAAAAGATGAATATAGACAGTGCGTGACGTTTCCGTGCGATTCGCGACTCCTTGCATGCTGAAGCGATTACAAGCACACGTTGTACGACTCTAGAGGCTGAACGGCACAAGGCTCGCAGATCGTGTGGATGTCGTGGTACGCCTCAAGGCCTGCTGAATCTGTACCCTGGTGTGCGCCATAATCACGGGCGATGCGGGTATAGTTTGGAATGGGGGAAGAAGACAGAGAGAACGCATGTTGAACTGGAAGAAGCAACGACACACGAGGAATATTGTGCAGCCACTCAGTCACCGCCTTGCGCATGTGCATCATGCGAGTTAACGTTGGCAGACTGACCGGGTGTGCACCGGAAGTGCCGCGCGTGTACCCAATGATGTCCCGTTGAGCCCGTCAAGCGATCGAATACCCCACTATGTGGGCCCCCCATCACCGCGTGCCCTCTCTTCCTCCACGCTTCCACAGTCTGTCTAATCTGTCGACCCGCATCGTGATGATGCATTCGCATGCCAAACTCTGTCCAGTGATGAAGCACTTTGCCATTGTTTCGTGGGCGGTTCGTTAACGAGACCATGGTCCTCCGCTGCTCAGTCACTGCCACGTCAACAAGCTACTGCAACCCCGAACCAGGATTGTCGAGGTGAGCAACGTGCAGTTCTGCTATCTGGTTCACTCCACTGCTGGCTCTCGCGTTTCGCATCTTGACCCTTCCCCGTGCTGGGTATCCTAGCAAAGATCAGGCTTGAGATTCTAGAGGTCAGGCTTGGGATTCTAGAAGTTAGGCTTACTTCACGCCAAGTTTCAACTTGTCAAGGCGAATAGATTCGGAGACCGACGAACTCATGCATGACGTCTTTGGCGTTTCGACGGTATGTCGATTTCAGGACGATGTAGCAGAGTTGCGAGAATGAAAATAGCTATGGGTCGACGACTTCGTCTGGTATTTTTGATGCACGTTGTGTGTGAATCGATGCGCAGCTGCTGATGGTGGTCCATGATGAATTGAGATTGTTTCCCAAGGACAGAATACACTCTGCTCTTGTCCCACTCTCCCAGTACATGTTCAATACCTGGGTCCAAATAGGTCCTCTCCAAACTTTGTCAATGGATGCGTGTAGATGCGACATAGATCCGGGGAAGGAAACAGTGATGAAAGTATTCGACATTTCAAACATGCCTTTGGACATACATAACAACCGGCCCTCCCTCGGGTCCAAATCCTACCATCGCTTATGTTGAAACGAACCCCGCGATTTTGACAGGAGCTGAACCTACGATAAAGTTCTGTAGTAACACCATCTACCATAGTGCTATATGCAAGCATTGTAGCCAAGAGCAGGGGAGACTTTGACGCCACTAGAATGGGACGCGTATACCGTTGATCTTGATCGACAAATCTTATTCTTAGAAGTTTCACTCATGCATCTATAGTATCGCCGACGGCTGAATAAGAAGTCAGTATTACTGAGAAGGTAGAGGTGCCATACGAGAGAACAGCTGTGATATTCTCGTTCACCTGGTCGTCCCAAAAAGCAATGCAGAGATACCTCTCCTTTGGCTTTTCGAACTCAATCAAACTAATAGATTCTGGGTATCTCACACGTCTACATCTACTTCGCGTACAAGCCTCACGACTCCTCGCTCACACTTCGGCTCACTTCCCTCACGACAAAAGCATCAGGGTCGACCGGAATTGCCTTCAGGTCCACCCTGTGTGTATCTGCCCAAGCCTTTACTCTGGCCTTGTTAATGACAGCATCGGCGCCGCCTTTCTTCTTCTGCTCCAGCACGTCCATAGCCTGTAGTGTCGCAATGATGTCTTCGGGCACAATGTACGTCTTTTCCCGCAAATCTTGCACGGTGAGGGTCTTCTTGGAAGGGCAAGCCAATATCGTCCGAGCGAGCGTTTGCGACCAGTAATGTATGTATGCGATGCGACCGAGATCCGACAGCGCTGTAGTAGTAGTGGTGTTAGCAGCGGTACCATGCGCTAATACGACGTCGACCTACGTTTCTCGGGCCCACCCAGCCTCTCTTCCCGTCTACTCATTTCATAGCTCGCGCCCATGAGTATCTGCCCCAGTCCTTGTTTCTGCCACGGCGGAAAAACCAGGATGCATGCGAGATTATTGTTGTCCCAGCTCATCTTCTCCTTGCTGAAGAACCCCACGACCTGCCCCTGCGCACCGACTCCACTCGCCTCTGCATCGTCGCCGAAACTGGTATTCGGTATCTCCGGTGTGGGGTTGTGCGCGACGAGGAGGTAGTATAGGAATGTCGTAACGTCGTAGAAGACGGATTTGGTATCGAGGAAGAGCTTGGCGAAGAGCGATAGGTTCTGTGCGTAGAGCTTGTGCTTCTCGCCGTCGATCTCGTAGAGGGAGTAGTTATCCTTCGTGTAAACGTTGACGCCCGGCGGGGGTGTATTGCGCAGAGGACATGCTTTCTACACCTCATCAGCTCTCCAATCCAACCCTCACACCCACTGCATATCCGTCTGTAAGCTTACCAAATGCCCAATAAACCCCACCAGCTCTTTGCTATACTTGAAGCACCATTGGCACACATACAGCCGCTCTACGCGTCGGCCTACAAGCTCTTCCGGGTAGAACGACGGGTACCAGGGCTGGATGAGCAGCGAGCCGAAGACGACTTCGAGGACGTTGGGGCCGGACGGGGGTTTCTGCGATGGCTTCAAGGCAGGCGTCGAGGGCGTCGAGGTCATGGAGGCTACATCGGGGGCCATTGGGCTGGTGACGACGCGTCGAGGGGCCGTCGGCACATGCGTGTGGGGAAGAGAAGAGCTTGGGCCGGGTTGTCAGATGCGGTTAGCGCGACGCGAGGGCACGTGGGTGATGGGGATCTGCCGTTCACCCAAGACGATCCGTTCGCCACTACACCTACAATCCTCGAAGCTGACCCATCTCAGACCGGCGCTGCCACAATACTTCTGACTTATCCATCATCTCCATCAGGATGAGCGACCACATCTTCGGTTTTCTGTCACGCCTGTTTAATGCTCGCTGACAAGCGAAAGCGACTGTGGCTGTAGGAAGCCAAATTACCATCTTCCGGCATTTAAACAGCAGTAGCGCAAAACTCTTTACCAATCTATGATTACATGTTTTGGAAAATAATCAAAGCTACCAATCCCAATGATCTCTCCGGCTCCGCTATCTCCCGCTACGACAGAATTTGACGCCGGCCACCATAGCACACAACACCTCTCGTATCCAGTCCGGCCCTACGTAATCTCCGAGAGGCAAGGACCCTCAACTTTGTCTCTTGTTCAACTTTCGTCTTGACACTGCTACCACTCCCCTGAGGATCGCGACGACCTAGGCCCTCTCCGCAGCCTCGAGACCGAAGTATACGTTCGTTGCTGATAACGCCGAGCTTCAGGCAATTCGATCCAAGAAGAAGCATTCGGCGCTTCATCTATGTGATCCTCCTCATCTAACCATTTTAGCATTCAACACATTTAACATCGGTGGTTTGCTCACCTGTCACTGCGGGCCTGCCTCGCTTTGATGTCCAATGCCTAAGTGTTCCCTTGTTCACGTAGTATCGTAACGTGAAACCGATCATGGCGAGAATCACGGTGAGGAAGACACTGAGGAGGGTGAAGATGGCTTCTTTGGACCAGCCAGATGTGGTAGAGGATACTCCTCGCGATACGGTATCTACGCTACTGTAAGCGCATCTCCGCATAAGAAAAGAAGGAGTATGTTACCGTTGTTTCCCATCTAATGGTCCACGTCTCGGTAGCGGATGTAGAATATCGATGAACGACCAATGATAATGATTTGGTGCAGTCTCAGTGGTAAGAAAGAAGTGCGAAGTCGATTGGCAGGATTGTCATGCAATGTGGCTGACTTCTGGGTTCAGTGGAGCACCATCGAGCGAAGTGCGGCCTAACTGAGCGGATGCATTCTGAATCGTGTTAACAGCTTCCATCTCGGTCTTATAATGCGCACATCGTCCACCGGTGACTACTAAGTTATCACATAGATGTGTGCGTTCGGATCTCATGAACATCACCCCTGGCTCTGCTACCCTACTCGAAAACGATTGGTAGCAAGTCTGCAGTGTGTGGCCTCCTATTGGGCTATCCTAGCTAATCCTGATAGCCACATCATGTCAGATTACGCCCGGCGCGGCGGTTACGGATACCAAAGAGGCTCATTACGCCCGCGGGTGGTGACGCCCTGAAGAGGATCTAACTTTGCATATCTACGGATCTAGTTACTTCGAAGCTAGGTGGCGGAGTATTATCACAGTAGATTCCCCTGTCAACCACGCAGTCTTATCCACGTCATCCGGGGTAGGAAGGCCTGGCGGACACAAGCATGTGTGAGACGAAGTCGGGCGCGGAAAAGTATGTACATTGCGCATCTTTGTTTGAGGGTATTGGAGATTTGAGGTGGAACATTACCAGGTCAGAGAGGTATCGAAATGTGCGGACTGCAGATTGCAGGCGAAGAATGCCGTGATGCACGTCTTGACGCCCCGCATTGACGTTTTCAGCCGTACGAACACCCCTGCAACCTCTTTCTTCTCAACCTGAAGGCTGGGTACGCTAACTCGTGTTACCAACATCACGGTGGAGTTTCTTGACCTAGACCACGTGTAGAAACAGCCACCGGGGAGCCTGTCAGGGCAGCCGCTCAACACCATCGCAGCTGTGATAAGCAAAGGGCCCCACTGATTACTCAGGCTCAGTACATCCAATGCGCAAAACCAACGGTGCGGCCAAACTTGTCCCAATCAATCACACCATACTAGTCATCACTGTTCAGTCACGTGTATACCTTGTATCTCTCGCGCTCCAAACATTTTGCGTCACACAGGCGAGCCTATCAGCTACTTCCAGTCT